CGTCGCTTTCTGAACTGCCTAGAAACTAGCTTCAAACCTTGCTTTTACGTGCCCTCCTGCTCTGCCAACTGCCAACTTGCCTGCGTCGTCTTGCAGCTGGCTTTTGTGCTGCACGGCTCCGGTCAAAGGACCCCCTCGCAGGGCTCAAACACCATGGCAGTGAAGGACGGAGCGGGCACGCGGCCGGCAGCCCAGACTGCCAAACGTCGCTTCCTGAACTGCCTAGAAACTAGCTTCAAACCTTGCTTTTACTTGCCTTCCTGCTCTGCCAACTGCCAACCAACTTGCCTGCGTCGTCTTGCAGCTGGCTCTTGTGCTGCACGGCTTCGTTCAAGGGACTTCTCGCAGGGCTCAAACACCATGGCAGTGAAGGACGGAGCGGGCCCGCGGCCGGCAGCCCAGACTGCCAAACGTCGCTTTCTGAACTGCCTAAACTAGCTTCAAACCTTGCTTTTACTTGCCTTCCTGCTCTGCCAACTGCCAACCAACTTGCCTGCGTTGTCTTGCCGCTGGCTTTTGTGCTGCACGGCTCCGGTCAAGGGACCCCCTCGCAGGGCTCAAACACCATGGCAGTGAAGGACGGAGCGGGCCCGCAGCCGGCAGCCCAGACTGCCAAACGTCGCTTTCTGAACTGGCTAGAAACTAGCTTCAAACCTTGCTTTTACGTGCCTTCCTGCTCTGCCAACTGCCAACTTGCCTGCGTTGTCTTGCAGCTGGCTTTTGTGCTGCACGGCTCCGGTCAAGGGACCCCCTCGCAGGGCTCAAACACCATGGCAGTGAAGGACGGAGCGGGCCCGCGGCCGGCAGCCAAGACTGCCAAACGTCACTTTCTGAACTGCCTAGAAACTAGCTTCAAACCTTGCTTTTACGTTCCCTCCTGCCAACTGCCAACTTGCCTGCGTCGTCTTGCAGCTGGCTTTTGTGCTGCACGGCTCCGGTCAAGGGACCCCCTCCGAGGGCTCAAACACCATGGCAGTGAAGGACGGAGCGGGCCCGCGGCCGGCAGCCCAGACTGCCAAACGTCACTTTCTGAACTGCCTAGAAACTACCTTCAAACCTTGCTTTTACTTGCCCTCCTGCTCTGCCAACTGCCAACTTGCCTGCGTCGTCTTGCAGCTGCCTTTTGTGCTGCACGGCTCCGGTCAAAGGACCCCCTCGCAGGGCTCAAACACCATGGCAGTGAAGGACGGAGCGGGCCCGCGGCCGGCAGCCCAGACTGCCAAACGTCGCTTTCTGAACTGCCTAGACACTAGCTTCAAACCTTGCTTTTACGTGCCCTCCTGCTCTGCCAACTGCCAACTTGCCTGCGTCGTCTTGCAGCTGGCTTTTGTGCTGCATGGCTCCGGTCAAAGGACCCCCTCACAGGGCTCAGACACCATAGCAGTGAAGGACGGAGCGGGCCCGCGGCCGGCAGCCCAGACTGCCAAACGTCGCTTTCTGAACTGCCTAAACTAGCTTCAAACCTTGCTTTTACGTGCCCTCCTGCTCTGCCAACTGCCAACCAACTTGCCTGCGTCGTCTTGCAGCTGGCTTTTGTGCTGCACGGCTCCGGTCAAGGGACCCCCTCGCAGGGCTCAAACACCATGGCAGTGAAGGACGGAGCGGGCCCGCGGCCGACAGCCCAGACTGCCAAACGTCGCTTTCTGAACTGCCTAGAAACTAGCTTCAAACCTTGCTTTTACTTGCCTTCCTGCTCTGCCAACTGCCAACTTGCCCGCGTTGTCTTGCAGCTGGCTTTTGTGCTGCACGGCTCCGGTCAAGGGACCCCCTCGCAGGGCTCAAACACAAGGACGGAGCGGGCCCGCGGCCGGCAGCCCAGACTGCCAAACGTCGCTTTCTGAACTGCCTAGAAACTAGCTTCAAACCTTGCTTTTACTTGCCCTCCTGCTCTGCCAACTGCCAACTTGCCAGCGTTGTCTTGCAGCTGGCTTTTGTGCTGCACGGCTCCGGTCAAGGGACCCCCTCGCAGGGCTCAAACACCATGGCAGTGAAGGACGGAGCGGGCCCGCGGCCGGCAGCCCAGACTGCCAAACGTCACTTTAGCTTCAAACCTTGCTTTTACGTGCCTTCCTGCTCTGCCAACTGCCAACTTGCCTGCGTTGTCTTGCCGCTGGCTTTTGTGCTGCACGGCTCCGGTCAAGGGACCCCCCTCGCAGGGCTCAAACACCATGGCAGTGAAGGACGGAGCGGGCCCGCAGCCGGCAGCCCAGACTGCCAAACGTCACTTTCTGAACTGCCTAGAAACTAGCTTCAAGCCTTGCTTTTACGTGCCCTCCTGCTCTGCCAACTGCCAACTTGCCTGCGTCGTCTTGCAGCTGGCTTTTGTGCTGCACGGCTCTGGTCAGGCTCCGGTCAAAGGACCCCCTTGCAGGGCTCAAACACCATGGCAGTGAAGGACGGAGCGGGCCCGCGGCCGGCAGCCCAGACTGCCAAACGTCGCTTTCTGAACTGCCTAGAAACTAGCTTCAAACCTTGCTTTTACGTGCCCTCCTGCTCTGCCAACTGCCAACTTGCCTGCGTCGTCTTGCAGCTGGCTTTTGTGCTGCACGGCTCCGGTCAGGCTCCGGTCAAAGGACCCCCTCGCAGGGCTCAAACACCATGGCAGTGAAGGCAGCCCAGACTGCCAAACGTCGCTTTCTGAACTGCCTAGAAACTAGCTTCAAACCTTGCTTTTACGTGCCCTCCTGCTCTGCCAACTGCCAACTTGCCTGCGTCGTCTTGCAGCTGGCTTTTGTGCTGCACGGCTCCGGTCAAGGGACCCCCTCGCAGGGCTCAAACACCATGGCAGTGAAGGACGGAGCGGGCCCGTTGCCGGCAGCCCAGACTGCCAAACGTCGCTTTCTGAACTGCCTAGAAACTAGCTTCAAACCTTGCTTTTACTTGCCCTCCTGCTCTGCCAACTGCCAACTTGCCTGCGTTGTCTTGCAGCTGGCTTTTGTGCTGCACGGCTCCGGTCAAGGGACCCCCTCGCAGGGCTCAAACACCATGGCAGTGAAGGACGGAGCGGGCCCGTTGCCGGCAGCCCAGACTGCCAAACGTCGCTTTCTGAACTGCCTAGAAACTAGCTTCAAACCTTGCTTTTACTTGCCCTCCTGCTCTGCCAGCTGCCAACTTGCCGGCGTTGTCTTGCAGCTGGCTTTTGTGCTGCACGGCTCCGGTCAAGGGACCCCCTCACAGGGCTCAAACACCATGGCAGTGAAGGACGGAGCGGGCCCGCGGCCGGCAGCCCAGACTGCCAAACGTCACTTTCTGAACTGCCTAGAAACTAGCTTCAAACCTTGCTTTTACGTGCCTCCTGCTCTTCCAACTGCCAACTTGCCTGCGTTGTCTTGCAGCTGGCTTTTGTGCTGCACGGCTCCGGTCAAGGGACCCCCCTCGCAGGGCTCAAACACCATGGCAGTGAAGGACGGAGCGGGCCCGCGGCCGGCAGCCCAGACTGCCAAACGTCGCTTTCTGAACTGCCTAGAAACTAGCTTCAAACCTTGCTTTTACGTGCCTTCCTGCTCTGCCAACTGCCAACTTGCCTGCGTTGTCTTGCAGCTGGCTTTTGTGCTGCACGGCTCCGGTCAAGGGACCCCCTCGCAGGGCTCAAACACCATGGCAGTGAAGGACGGAGCGGGCCCGCGGCCGGCAGCCCAGACTGCCAAACGTCACTTTCTGAACTGCCTAGAAACTAGCTTCAAACCTTGCTTTTACGTGCCCTCCTGCTCTGCCAACTGCCAACTTGCCTGCGTCGTCTTGCAGCTGGCTTTTGTGTTGCACGGCTCCGGTCAAGGGACCCCCTCGCACGGCTCAAACACCATGGCAGTGAAGGACGGAGCGGGCCCGCGGCCGGCAGCCTAGACTGCCAAACGTCGCTTTCTGAACTGCCTAGAAACTAGCTTCAAACCTTGCTTTTACTTGCCCTCCTGCTCTGCCAACTGCCAACTTGCCGGCGTCGTCTTGCAGCTGCCTTTTGTGCTGCACGGCTCCGGTCAGGCTCCAGTCAAAGGACCCCCTCGCAGGGCTCAAACACCTGAAGGACGGAGCGGGCCCGCGGCCGGCAGCCCAGACTGCCAAACGTCGCTTTCTGAACTGCCTAGAAACTAGCTTCAAACCTTGCTTTTACTTGCCCTCCTGCTCTGCCAATTGCCAACTTGCCGGCGTCGTCTTGCAGCTGCCTTTTGTGCTGCACGGCTCCGGTCAAAGGACCCCCTAGCAGGGCTCAAACACCATGGCAGTGAAGGACGGACCGGGCCTGCGGCCCGTAGCCCAAAGTGCCAAACGTCACTTTCTGAACTGCCTCGAAACTAGCTTCAAACCTTGCTTTTTCCTGCCGTCAGCTCGGGTCCTGCCATCAGCTCGGGTCCAAGGACCTAGCTTCAAACCTTGCTTTTACTTGTAATTACTTCTTGCACCTTGCTGCTGGTAACAAACTAGCTCCAATCCAAACTGCCGTCAGCTTGGGTCCTGCCCCTTGCTACTTGTAATTACTTCTTGCACCTTGCTGCTAGTAAGAAACTAGCTTAACGTTGCTTTCTGAACCTACAAGAAAAGTAGCTGTCTAACCTAAAACGGCGCCTCCGCCACAGCCAAACAGCAAGGCCCTGAGGGACGGACGAGGCCTGCGGGCCACGGCCCCCAGTGCCTAACATTGCTTTCTGAACCTTCCCTTGTTGCTAGTAAGGCCTCCTCTGACGCGCTCCCCCTGCTGGCGGCAGGGGTCGGCGGATAATATAATATAATATAATACAATTTAATACAATACAATACAATACAATATATAATATAATATAATATAATATAATATATAATATAATATAATATAATATAATATAATAATATATATATATATGTATCAGTTTGCATCTAGATAGAAACAAGGGACTGCAAGAAGTCCGAGAAAAAAATGGAAGAAAACAAAATCAAATCTATTTGGGATTGGCCAGAAGTGCGTGCATGCCCCACATCCTTCCACCATAGGCAGCGCTCGCAGTGCATTGAATGGCGGGGCTGCGGAAATGCACATGGCAAAGGTCTTTGATCAAGCAAAGATTGCCGAGCAGGATCACTCAGATCTTTTGGAACGATCAGCAAACCAAACAGATCCAAACAGGTTCTCGGCACATGCTGCTGTACGAGAGTAACCTGCTAAAGTGTAGGAGCTCGCCAATCTCTTCAAGCAAGCAGAGCAAGATGAACTTCATCATCACCGAGCAGCAGAAGAGTCTCTTGGAGATAATGTTTCTGAGCCCTGATGCAGCCAGAAAGATCCATGAACAAAACAAGATCAAACTATCTGACCTAAATTTTGCTGATCGAACCTTATCATGTTGCAAATGGCGGGCCAAACTGTGTTTATGGTGAGAGCTTGAAACACGTGTTGTGTTTGTACCTGAGGGCCTCGCATTTCAAGACATGCCAGAAGTCTTTGCACATGAGCCGTGCTGTGCTAAGGTGGCGGCAGGCAGCTTGCCGACAAATGGATACAGTTTGCTGATGGGATGATGGAAATGTATCATATGTATGCCTGTTTTGCAGCGATTCACACCAATGACCAAAGAAAAAAATACTGTAATGATAGTGCAACTCCTACTTCCCGTGATGATTTTCTCAAAGAATCTCAGTTGTTTTCAATTCCGCTTGGTGGATTAATCACGGCGGCACTGCGGCACACATCAAATGTTAAATGAAACTAAGACGTTTTGGTGTGATCCAAATCCAACTTAATTATATGTCCCAGTGGAAATTGGAACGGGTGCCTGAGCAATGATCACGTCACCAATGCTACTGAAAGTTCTTAGTGGAACATGTTTGCCTGCTGCAGTGACCCATTTGATGTTCTTTTTTTGCGGCACTCAAGGTTTACAGAGAAGTCAAAGATGTCTTGAAAGAGAAGCAGCTAGAGGCTGAGGACGATCATTCAGATTGCAGTGGGTGGACCTCACACGATGCAGCACTAAACGGTTAACAGTTTTGGAGACAACGTGGGTAGGGCCCTCCATGCCATAAGATGCGTTGTAAGCAGATGCCTAAGCTCATCTCAGATCATCTCAGTGCCAGGAATCCCAAGCAGTGATAGATGAGCTACAAGCAGAAATTTCCTCTTTACGCAGCGCGCTGAAAAACGTGACTTTGGCCAAAGTATCCCACAAAGCAATAAAGATTAGCTGCTTAGCTATAGCGGCTATAGCTTGCCTTTCGGAGGTAGATCAATGCAGGTTCTGATTTCCAAGTCTTCCAGTCAAGTTGACCTCTCTTTGGTGTCCATCTTCGCCTGATGAAAGCTGCTGCCAATTTCTTACTTCCGAGGCCTTTGCTGAATTGGAGGATGCCAGTGCCGCTTACCGTGCCACGGACGCACGCGTCACTTCAGAACGGGCAGTGCTTGCAGAAGAACTGGCCGAGGCGAAAAAGGGATGCATGGTTCCATTATGTTCCATTTTCTTGTGAGACAAGTGTGTTCAATGTGTTTCAAAAATACAGTACGTATGCTGCAAGCCAAAATGATTGATCCTTGGTTTCAATGCGTGTCGTTTGATGCGTTTCCATGGACAAGGATTGACAGCAGACTGGGCTTGGCAGACGTACTGCTGCAGAGAAGCCCTCACACCATTTCTGGTTGCAATTCTTTCAGGGTTTGTCGTCAGCGGGGTTTGCTTGAAGAAACGATAAGAAACGCATGTATTGAATTTTCACCTGTAGACTTCAGACCTCCAAGCAGCCAAACAAATACGCACAATGCCAGCAAGTCAGCATGACAGTTCTGTGAGCTGTAAATGTTAGGCCAAGCTTACGGCCGAAGGACAGACGCAGTGTGCTCTTTGGAGAAACAGATGCGCTGCGCTCACCAGACATTGGGGACACAAGTTGCTGCTGCAGGAGCTCGTATGGAGCAGGTGGCAGCTGAAGAACAACGCCAAGATGAGCTCCGCCGCCTGGCAAGGTCCACCATGGTCCACCATGGTCCACCATGGTCCACCATGGTCCACCATGGTCCACCATGGTCCACCATGGTCCACCTCAATGAACCCCCCGTAGCATTTGGACATATTTGGACGCTTATGGATGCTTGAATGCCCAAGATCCCCAAGTCATCAAACCATCAGGAAGGACTGCATGGTGCTGCATGTTGGGTATTTGGGCTCAGGAAAAGAGCTGTCAGAGTGCTTGCAGCGGGAAGCACTGGGACAAGCTCTGCTCAAACGATTGCGGCAGCTTCGAAATGATGCTGAGACTCAAAGGACGCAGCTGGAAGCTTGGGATAAAGGTGCTGGCTCGGTGTTTAAAGTCTTTCTAGACCTTGATGATTGCAGCAGGCGGTCAGGCCTTTGCCAATCAGCATTCCTTGACAATGCTTTTCTTAGGGTGTTTGTTTGTACTAGCTTGACTTTCAGAAGTTCTGGAAGTATACTAAGCATACAGTATTTACTTTTCTTGCTTGCAACTGCCACTTTGATCAGGAGGCATCGAGATGAACTGCTTCCCACAGCTCCTGCGAAGGCAAGAGCCTTACTAGGCCTTACAGCAGAAGTTACCACGAGAGTTGTTGCACTTTTGTCATGTGAGGCTGTACCGAGTCGTACCGAGTCATACCTTTTCGCAAACTGGAGGTGGATGCGGCATGCCAAAGCAGCGTTGCGGAAGAGAAGCTGGCATCCGACCCATTGGACACAAGTAGCCAAGCTTCAATTTGGCTACAACCCCGCTGCCCAAGGTGGTGGTTGAAATCCTCCAACATGTTTGACTCCTCGCATTTTTTGCATCTCAGTAGGATAAATCTTGCAACAGGTGTTGTCATTTCACAGAGACATTCTCAGTTTTGCCACAGCTAAGGCTCTCAAAGTCAAACAGTTTCCAGCCTGGAACCTGCAACCTCAAAATGCATACCTTCAACGATGCCTGCGACGCCCCAGATGCCTTTGCCAATGTGTACAGCTTCTGATCAACGGCAGTGGTTGCTAAGCCGTGTGCAAAAGCTTCATGCCGTAAAGGACCAATTACAGAATCTCAGACAGCAATCCCTGTGCACTCCGGAGAAAGCCAAATCCGGAAATTCGGAGTCCCAGGAGACTTTGCGGAGGTGGCACAAAAAGATACCAGTGCGGGCAGCGCAGCGCAACTGACTGCAGGGAAGGATTATCACGGCATTTCTTCAGTTGTCCAGGCATACCACAAGCGCACTGCACACAGCCGCATTGGTTGAATTTGACTGTGCTTGGACCTTCCTGCGCTATATTTGTCAGCAATTGAGATGACTGAGGTGCGGAAGTACAAATAATTCCTTTCCGCTGTGTTTTGTTTGGGTTTGACCTGGCAGCGAATCTGCAACTTGTAATGGTTTGAGGTTCTCATGATCTCATGCCTTTACAGCGCAAATTGCAACTCACATGTTTTTCATTTCATTAAAGAGACAGTCAAGGGACCTCCTCCAGCGCTATGCCATGTCATCTGGCCGCTGCCAAAGAATGCAGAGACGCCAGAGATGGCTTGGCGGCTGCAAGAGTCGCTACAAAGCTCCAAGACACTAGCCATCTTGGAACTGAAGGACTGCGCCATCGAGAATTTGGAGAGAGAACTGGATGCAGTGCAGTCCAAGTTGGCCGAGATCAAGAATGACATGCGTCAAAATGAGGAAGATTTGCAGTTGCAGGCTGAGCAAGCTGAGCAGGCAGCCTTTGACCGTCGCAGAGGCTGCCAAGACTCTGCCATGAAAACCAGGTTGGCAGAAGAGCGCTGGGAAGCTGCGCGTGAACAGGCGGAAGAGCTTCGCAAGGATCGTGATGCCGTGGAGGTCGTAGCTGAACGCCTCATGCAACTGCGAGTACGTTTAGAGGCCGAGACCGCAAACCTCCACGCTGAGAGCCAGGCGCACCTGGCAGAAAAAGAAGAAATCCGGCAAAGTGGCCAGAGGCTCTGGGACATTTTGCGATCTGCAATGACGGAACACAAGGCGCAGCTAAGCTTGATGGAAGTGAAGACAGCTCAAAGTGTGCATAACAACGAAGCAGAAGAGAAGTGGATGTTGGAAAGGCAGTGCAATGAATTGAAGGAGGAATTGCGGTGGCTTAAGGACCAGCATAGAGAAGTGGACGGGCAACGGCAAAGTCTGGAGAAACGTGCTTTGCATGATCATGCAAAAGCAGAGTCCATGGTAAGAGATGAGCAAAGAGAGACATTGAGAATGAGGAAAGAAATGGAAGAGGCTTTAAAGAAAGGCCAGTGTCGCAGGAGGAATGAGCAAGCTCTTTTGGAGGCCGAGCAGGAGCTGGACACGCTGCGCTCTGAACTTCAGCTGGCAGAAGATCATCAGGCCACTGGGCCAGTAGGACTTGGGAGTTGCACATCTCTGGTCGGACGTTTGGGCTCTCTTGCTGAGCTGGAAGCCAGCATGAAGGCTCGGCGGCAGGTTTTTCAGAAATCCCTGGAGAACTTGGAAGCAAGACGAGTTGCAGAGCCAGAGGCACCTCTCCTGCACAAGGAATCGGTTGCAAACACATTGGCAATGCAACAGAGCGGTCAGGAGCAGCTCAGTGAGCTCAACCAGGAGCTGCAGTTGAAGGCTTCCACAAAAAGCGAAGAGGTGGAACAGGCAGAGAGACAGAAAGCGTTGCGACAGGAACTCCTGGAACTCGGCACCGATGGAGCTCTTGTGAAGGAACCCTTGCCATTGCCGCGTCTCAGGCCATTATTGTTGCGGCAGCTGTCTCAATTGTCCAGCTCTGGATGGTCTGCAGAGGATCAGGATTTACAGGAGTTGCTGGACAACCTGATGACCTTGCTGCGTGAGTTGCAGCAACAATTTTTGGAGGCTCAGCGTTCGAGCGAAGAATGGAAACTTCAGGTTCTAGCGCCCGGAGGTGACATCACCCCACTTGTGCCAGCACGGAAGGTGGAAGTCAAATGGGGCGAGGACCTTTTGGGAAAGAGTATGATAGACGAATCTGCAACCACGGACATGGCAAAATTGGAGGCCAAAGAAGCAGTGCTAAAGTCTGAGCTCGCCCAGCAAAAGAAACACTTTGAGAGCATGAAGGAAAAGCATTTGGTTGAAACTGCTGCTTTCAAAGTTGAAGCAGCCAGAGCTGGATTGCGAGGACGCCAGAAGTTCTTCGAAGAGCAAGGCCATTGGCGAGATGTTCTGACTGAGAGTGTGTGGACAATGGTCCAGCGTGTTGCTGCTGGAGCACTGGCAGCTTCAGAACCAGCTAAGGTGCTTCGGGCTGCAGAGCTTCTGCGCATCATGGGGTTTCAGCTGTGCGCTTTGGAACTTGGATGGATGCTTCAACAGAGGCAGGTCTACGGTGATTTGTTGCAATGCGCTGCCATGTTCTCAAAACAACTTAGAGCCCCAGCAGGTTCAGCTTGGAGACAGCGGTTTGTGCAGCTGGCAGAGGCTGAGCAACTGAGCATGGATGCTTTGCGGCTGAAGTCGGAGGTGCAGACGATGAAGGCCGAGCTTCACGAAGAAAAGTCCAAGGAGCAGTCTCTGCAACGAAAATCTGCAGATCCCTCTCTAGCAGCCTCCACTGTGGATCGTGACGTGCTGATGTCCACGCTCAGTACCATGGGTGAGGTCATGCAGATGTGTTTTCGGTTGGTCCCTGCCGAGTCCGAAGGTGCCAAAGCTCAGAGTGATTATTCCACGCAAATCCTGCGAGAGGTTCAAGATGTGGGGCATTGCTGTCAGCAGTTGCAGGAGCAACTGGCGCACCAGAAAGAAATGATCAAGTCTTTGGCTGTCCGCGACACCCTGCAGCGAGATGCCATGAAGGAGTTGGAGCTGTGGCCCAGAAAACTGGAAGGCCTGCTGGGTCTGCAACACGATTTGCAGCTGGAATACAAGAGCGCAGCCGAGGAACTGCTGAAGCTGCGAGATAGCAGGTCAGAACTGGCTCAGGCACTGAAAGCAGAGCAGGCTGGTGGTTGGGCTTCTGGGTTGGTAAGCTTGGAGTCTAGTCGTATTTTCTACATGTTTTGGAAAGTGTCACCAGCACTTCTAACTGCTGAAACTGCTGGTTCCTGTCAGGATGGCCTGGCAAGACTGAAGGAGATTGGATGCTTGGGCCTTTAATTTCTATGCCCCCAAAGGTTTTAAAGGGTATCGGAGGTGTATACTGAACATCAGAGTGGTGCTCATCCCAGTGTCGATCCACCAAAGACAAGTGTGGACAATGTGGAAGCATGTGCGAATGTTTGGCCGGTCGAGACTGTATATAAAGATGACATATTGAAATAAATGACTCCTGACACATTTGCCAGAAGATAGTTGAAAAGCAAGGTTAACAATGTCAAGGGTTGGGACTCCCCAACCGTTGAACGCCATCAACCCTCGCGACTAGCTCTTGCTTGTGCTAAGTGCCGCATATTCTTGACCGCTCTTACTGAGTCGTTCTGTTGATGGATTGAAACCCAGCAAACGATCATTTGGCCAAGTTCTTGCTGACGTAGGAGCTGCAATGATTTAAACATTTGGATACATACAGGAATGCAGCACAGATTCAGACAGCGTTTTCTTTTGCGTGGGCTCGGCCTCGGGAAGAAAACTCGGGAAGCAGGGAGGCCACTTTCCCCTCCCTTTGCACTAGAGGAACCTATGGCTGGAGTGATGCCCAAGCAGGCGCTCTGCAAAATGGTTACGTGCCTTGGTTCTGCGCGTGAGAGGCAATGGTTTTTGTTTTGGGTCGAAATATGCCCATGCATGTCACGCATAAACATAGAATTGCCAGAGCATGCTGGTACTGCCAAAGCGATGCAGCACTCACCACAACTGCTGGCAGAGAAATTGTGAATAGACGCATCATTTGCTCAAAATGTTGGAGTTTTCCAAAGGAGTTAAGGAGTTGGCTGTTGCAGTCATCCAGCCAAGGTCTGTGCGGAAATCTTGCAAGTCTCAAGAAGGCAACAGTCCGGAACTTTGGCAGAGATTTGCATTATCGACAAGGCCAAACTGTGTTTTTTGGGGAAAGACTTCTGGATCTTCTGGTTGAGTGATGAGTATGTTATGTATATGTGCAACTCTTGCTGGCAGCTTGAACTTCCCACGTCGTGCAGGCTGGAGTGACCCTGGCGCGCAGCACTGCCGATTTTCCAGATGATGTTGGCAAGCGCTGCGTGATGACAGTCACGATTCCTGAAGTTATTGCTGCAAGAAATTCCACTGTTGCACCTCGGATTGTGGAAGAACGTCGTGTCTTATGCTTGCCTCGCTACCCTTTTGAAATAGGCTTAAGTTAGAGTAATTCACAGAAGTGTCACGGACAGAACATGGGCTCTCCTTCGAGCAACAATTTAAGATACCGGCCCGGGCTTGGGCTAACTGATGCTAGCTGCGAGGGATGTCAGGGCCACTTGTTGTTTGTCTCACGCCACCAGGAAGTCTCCCTTCTGGGCCCGAATGGGCAGAACAGCTTCAGACTCCCTCTATCAGATCTCGGTGGCCGTGTGCAACCGCAAGACTATCAGATGGATGGCCAGAAGGCGTTGAGTGTAGACTTAGCACCGCATGGCAGTTTTTTGCGCTTTGTAGTTTCCCGAGTGTTTCGCTTTATTCACCTAGCAAGTCTGGTCCAAGTGCCTGTCAGATCTGTCAGTCCATGCCCATGCCAACTTGAGGTAAGAATGAGCCTCTTCTGTGTCAAAGGGCATTCACCTCCAGCCTCTCGAGTTGCCGGGAGTCCTTCAGTTTCTTGCTTGCCCTGCTGAGCCAATAAGATCGGCAGTTCTTGCATTCTTGCATTCTTGCATGCTTTTGAAATTTTACATTAATAGGTGTCGAATGCACTCCATGCACTCATGTCATTTACCATTTGCTTTAGCATTTCAGTTTCAACCAGAGCTGCCACACATTTTACCTGTGGCCATTTTCTTTCAACCACCAGAGGGTGGGATCTTAGCAAAGCCCCAACGGCTACGCGTGTGCAAAAAGGACTTCGTTTGCCTGCACTTGCAACTACTTCTTGGTCCAGAACTTCGAGTGTCTTGACTACAACTGACTCCCTACCAGTTGATACTGGTAGCGGAGCTCAAGCTCCAGAGCTCACCACTGCGCAACTCCTACTTCCTTGACGACTTTGCCACCAACCTTCACTTCACCTCCTACCATCTCCTCGAGCACTTTGGTGCCATCAACTTGATTTACTGCATCGCTGAAAAGATTCTTGTGCCCAAAGATCTGCTGATTTCTGACCTCAAGAATGGCCAGCACTGCTTCAGCCGTGACCACAGATTCACAGTTTACGAAGGATTCATACATACCCATTTTTGATGGGCAACCCAGTTCATACCAAGAATGGCGGAAGAGAATCCATATCTACCACTTGAAGATGAAGATTCAGAAACGTACTACAGAGTCTGTTTTGAACTTGATCGGCTCACTGCAGGGCAATGCATGGAAGTTGGTAGAGGGCTATGACTTGACAAAGGTTGAAGATGACCAGGCTTTTGACAAGGTCATTTCCATGTTGGATACGGCATTTCAATATGACACACGTGTCAGGATGCCCCAGGATTTCGATGCCTACTTCAACTTGTCCAGGCGCCCAGGAACTTCCTTGCTTAGCTTCGTGACTGAACACGATGAGAAGCTTCGCAAAATCACGGAGCACGGCATCAAGCTTCCAGACCAAGTTCAAGGATGGCTGTTGCTTCGCCGTGCAAACCTCACAAAGGAACAGAATCAACTTGTTTTGACTCAAGCCCCAAAACTTGAAAAGCTGCGTGTTCAGGAAGCCTTATTTGTCATTTTGGGACAAGATTACAAGTCAGCAGTTTCCCATGATCGGCGACCATTTGCCAACAATCGCTTTCAACGTGGAAAAGCTTTTGCTGCTCATGATGATGAAACTTTTGATGATTCAGACATCTATGAGGATGGATACTATGAGTATGATGACCAATATGAGACTGAGGCCTACGACGAAAGCTGGGCCGATGACAGCTTTGATGCGGATGCCGCCTACTTCCAAGAAGATGAGGCAGCCCTTGAGTTTGACCAGCAATCTGAGGCCTTCGACGTTAATACGTATGACGAGGCTTTTGCTGCATACTTGGATGCTCGTCGAAGGTTTCAAGACTTGAAGCTCAGTCGTGGATTTTTGCCAGTTGTGGCATTGGCTGACCAGAACCCTGTGTCTCCTTCCTCCAGTCCTTCACCTTCCTCACGTGGTCGTGGAAAAGGCTTTGGAAAGCCAAAGGGGAAATCGAAGGGCAAGGGCCGTGGATCCAATGTTGTGCGATACCCACCACGTGGTGAACGCAAAGCTCCAGATCCTCGAGCCAGAGCTGCAGCAGCCTCGCAATGTTTGCGATGCGGTGCTTTTGGACATCAAGCAGCTCAGTGCCCTCGACCTGCAAAGCACAGTGGTTCCTCTCAGGTGTCAACCAGCCCTTCAAAGAAGCAGAACACAGAAGGCATGGCCGCGACCCAGCTGCCTGATGAACATGGACACGTCCTATTTGAGGACCAACTTGGACGCCCTCGCGTCGACTGCACCATGATGGACCCAGGAGCAAGTGCCTTTTTGATGGGTACTGGCCCATTCCACCGTTATGTGGAGCATCTCAAGCAGCTTGGATTTGCCGTGGAAACCATTGAGATGCGGCGCACTTGCCGGACTTTTCATTTTGGTGGAGACCATTCAACAGTGAGTCATTGGGTTGCTAGGGTGCCAGTTTTCCTCAACAACAACTTTGGATTTGCCCAGGCGTTTATCATCAAAGGAGAAACACCAATGTTGATGGGCCGCCCCATCATTGAAGCCTTGGGCATTGTCATCAACTTCAAGCGGCAGCAGATGATGTTCGAAGGACATCCATGGCGACAAATCACAATTGGTCGCCATGGCGAATACTTGCTGTCCTTGACTGAAGACTATGAGGCCGAGCTTGCTGATCAGGTGCCTTCCTTTGATCTTCGACTTGAAGACCAATCTGATGAGTTTCAGTCCTCTGGCGAGGTCATGGATTTTCAGGCCTACCAGAAGCAGGAAGGTGTTTTCACTTCCAGCGATGACTCTCCGACACAGCCTGGAGAGCGACCTGTCCTGATCAAGCACTGGAAGATGCTCGAGAATGCCCTTGCTGCCGAAGAGAAACGCATCCATGCCACGCTCACCAGAGAACTTCATGACCCGACACCAAGACCCAGGATTATCTGGGAAGTCTATGCTGGCGCTTCAAGGATGTCAGAGGTGGCCGAATCACTCGGCTGTTTTGTTGAGACGTTTGGGTATGAGACTGACTATGACTTTGACCTTCCTTCACATCGGTCTTACTTTTTGGAGTACCAAGCCCATGTGATGCCTGATGAGGTCTTGTACGCACCGAGATGTGGCTTGTGGAGCAGGATGCAAGCAATCAATGCAACCACTGAAGCCAAGAAAGACCTCTTGCAACAACAGCGACAGATCCACCATGATCACCATCTTCGATTTGTGAAGAAATCATACCTTGCTCAAGTTCATGGTGGACGCCAAGCACATCTTGAACAACCACATGGAGCTTTGTCCTGGGAAACCACCTCTTTGAAATCACTCCCAGGACTCTATGTCACCTTTGACCAATGCTGCTATGGTGCAATGTGCTTGGACTCTGATGGCCAATGGAAGCTTGTTCGAAAGACCACAGGCTTGAAAACAACCAAGCGTGCAATGGCTCAAGCCATGTGTCTTCGTTGCGATGGATCCCATGAACACTGCAGGCTTGAAGGACAATTTCCTGGCCTTGGTCGCTCTCGCACCAGCTACATGGAAGATTACCAACCAGCAATGGCTGCAGTTCTAGCTGCTGCAATGGCAGCCCCTGAGGATCCAACCGCCTGGGAAGACGCCAACGCTGTGGAAGAGGTCAAAGAGGTCCAAGGAAAGCTAGTTCAGCTCATGACTGGAAACCGAGCTGAAGCCACCAGAACTGTCCAGCGACTTCATCGCAACCTTGGACACCCATCACCCAAAGCTCTTTGTGAACTTCTGGAATCACGTGGTGCCTCAGAGACTGTCATGGAGATTGCACGACAGTTTCAATGTCATGCCTGCTTGCGATACCGAAAGCCAAATCAGGTAGCTCCTTCGTCATCAAAGACGGTGAGCAAGTTCAACCAGATCGTGCAGGCCGATGTCTTCTGGCTCAAGGACAACTCCAACAAGTTGCCCATCTTGTCCATGATCGACGAGGCCACAAAGTTCATGGCTGCGTTCCTCCTCAAGAGCGAGAAAGCCATTGACTATATCTCAGCTCTGGAACGGTGTTGGATTTCTCACTTTGGAGCACCGACCAAATTGATCACTGATGAGGGACGTGGCTGGCTTCATGATGATTTTGGAATTTGGACTGATGAACATGGAATCCACCATGCAGTTGCTGCTGGCGAAGCCCATGAACAGTTGGCACTTGTGGAACGGAGACATGCTGTCTTGCGAAAAGCACTGGAAGTCTATTTGGCCGACTACGGCATCAGCGGTGAGAAGGCCATCAAACAGGCCTTGGCCTACATTGTGCCCCAGATCAACAACACACCTTCGACCTCAGGCTTCTCACCTGCTCAATGGCTTCTGGGACAGTCTCTTGACCTGCCTGGCGAACTTCTTGGAACTTCACTCACTCCAGTCCACCTTGGTGAATCCTTTGAAGATGAACTTGCCAGGCGAGCCACAGCCAGAATGGCCATCATCCAGGCCGACACAGACCAGAAGCTCAGGCGAGCCCTTCTCAGGAAGTATGCTGGCATGAACATTGCACTACTTCCTGGACAGCGATGCTACTTTTGGCGCGACAGCAGGTCACCAGACCTCGTGAAGATTCGCTGGAAGGGTCCTGCCACAGTCCTCATGAGAGAAGATAATGAAGATGGCAGACCGCACATCTACTGGATAGGATACAAGTCACAGCTTCTTCGAGCGGCACCACACCACGTACGTCCTGAGATCGGCAAGTCAACTGACAGCCTGACAGGCAGCCTCCAAGACGCCAAGGACGTGATCAAATCTCTGAAGTCCCGTGGTGTGACACGATTCATTGACTTGTCCATCCAGAACAAGCGCAACATCGATGACATCGGCACTGATGAAGAAGTCATGGATGACAACAACGATGATGATGACGATTTGCGTCCTCCTGCAACTCGTCGAAGACTTCTTGACCCTGAACATGTGTTGCCACCTCAACCTCCATCTCCTCCATACTCCCCTTCACTGGCACCTGATCCACCACCGGCTGATGTTGAGATCTTGGACTTTGACTCTCAACCTGGCCAGTCACTTGGACTTTCGACTGGACCACAGCCTGATCCTCTTGGATTTGAGGACATCGCTCAACCTGGACTTGTTGAGCCAGCTGGATCCGATGGACTTCATGGACTTACTGAACCTTTACATGATCCCGCGATGGATGTGCCGATCAGCATTGGGGAGCCGTCACGCGAACCCAGTCCAAAATCTGAATTTCAAGCACCTCAACCTCTTGAACCACCTCAACATCCAATTTCATCTCCATCTACAGTTCAACACCCTGAACCACCTCAACAGCCAGTTGCTCAAGCTCCACAACTTGACCCATACACTGCCTCCTTGTATCAACCTGCGACAGATGAAGACTTCCGAGCTCACCGGCGTCGCTTCCAACTTCAAGAGACCATGTCGTTTGGACCGCACAGACGTGCACCACCTGCACGCTCAGTGCCATATGATCCTCCACAACATGACAAAGAAGATGCTGATTTTGGACTTTCAGCGTTTGACCTTGAGGATCTCGAAACTGCGGCACTGCCAACGGGTTGGAAGTTTGAAGACGGCTACATCACCTTGGAAGACCACACCAAAGATTTTTGGGAGCTCAAAGCAGGATGTCTGATTCGACATCACGTTGTTCCTCGCAGGGCACTTTTTGACCCAAGAGCTCTTTCTGCCAAAGACCTCAGCCATATGCCAGTTCCTCTCCAACAGCTGGACAATGTGAGGGTTACCGTTTCCAAGCATGACCATGGCATCAGACATTTCACTGACAAGATTAAGGATGGCCATGGCACCTTGTCCAACACTCCATGGATTGGCTGCACTGTTTTTCAAATCAATGGCGATACTCGCAAAGAGCTTGGACTTCATGCATATGCTGCCATGACTGCAAAACAGATTGGCAAGAAAGAGAAGGTTAACGCACAGCGCAAGATGCGAAAAGTTGCCCCCAAGAATGAGATCAACGAAAGAAAGCTGAGCCTTGAAGATCGACTCCTTTTTCATCAAGCCAAGGTGAAAGAACTGAAGAGTTTCTTCGACAACGGCGTTTGGACATTTCAGACCACAAAAGAAGCAGACCCAGCTCGCACACTTACAAGCAGAATTTTGCTGAAGTGGTCGAAGAATGCCGACGGCACGCCACGTGCAAAGGCGAGACTTGTCGTGCGTGGCTATGCTGATGCCGATGCCTTAGCAGGAGAGCTGGACACTGCATCTCCAGCCTCGACAAGGTTGGGCAGAGCATGCTTGCTTTCCATCTCTGCAATCCTTGGTTGGTGCGGCTGGAGCGCTGATGTTTCAACAGCATTTCTCCAAGGACTTCCACAGGAGAGGCGATTGTGGGTGAAGTTACCAGCCGACGCCCTCAGAATTCTTGGAGGCGATGCTGACACCAGGATGTTTTTGCACAAGCCTGTTTATGGCCAGCTTGATGCACCAAAGAGATGGTTCCTTGAGGCGACCCGCAGACTTCGCCAACTGCAGTGGGTGCCTCACCCTATGGATCCTTGTTTTTGGCTTCTTTATGAACCAGACGAAGCTGGCGGCTCAGCTACCAAACTATGTGGCCTTCTATGTTTGCATGTTGACGACATGTTGGGATGCGGTGATACCAAGTCCGAGACCTATTTGAATGCTGAAAAACAACTCAAAGAGTCTTTCAACTTCCGCACTTGGCAGAAAGATGAACCTTTTGAATACTGCGGTGCCAAGATGACACGTGATTCTGACGGCACATGGCATGTGAGTCATGATGAATATCTTCGAAAAGTTCAACCAATTCCCGTTGAGCGGGGCCGTCAATCACACCAACCCATGTCCGACAAGGAGCAAACAATGTTGAGAGGCCTACTTGGAAGCCTTCAATGGCCAGCGATACAGAGCTCTCCACATATCCAAGCTTCAACCAGCTTGCTGTCAGGCGAGATGAGCACTGGACTTTCTGCACCCTTGCTTGAAGCAAACAAGCTCCTCAAGTTTAGCAAGGCCAACAGTGATGTCCACCTGAAGTTCAACCCGCTTGGTGAACTCAAAGACTTGCGTCTGAGTTGCATGTTTGACGCAGCACTTGGCGTGCGTCACGACGGCTCCAGCCAGGGTGGTTTCATCGTTTTGCTGACTCACAAGGATGCTTTTGATGGGGTGGAATGTCCATACCATGTTTTGGATTGGAAGAGTTTTCGTTTACCCAGGGTGGCTCGTTCGAGCTTAGCTGCTGAAGTTCAATCGGCTGCTCAGGCAGTTGACACCACAGAGTTCGTTGTGCGCTTCTGGCATTTGATTTTCAATCCATATGACTCTATCAGAGAAACTTTGGATGTGAAGAATCCTACGCTGGCTCCAATTTTTGTCACAGATGCGAAGGCCCTGTTTTACTCCTTCCATCGAGATGCCATCAACCATGGAGCGACTGACAAGCGCACCAACTTGGAACTACGTGTCATCCGAGAACAAGTCGAATGCATTGGTGGAACCCTGAAATGGATTTCATCAGAACGCCAGTTTGGCGATGGGCTGACAAAGATGTCCGCACGTCAGCTTCTTGCAGACCGACTTAGGCACGGCTCAATCAAATACACCTGGGACCCTACATACCAGGCTTCAAAGAAGAAATCAGCACAAGAAAGAGCAGAGAGCAGAAATCAGTTTTCGAAACAACTCAACAACACCAACTCACAACACAACACAACCACAACTCATGCAGTGAATGTTGGAGCAAAGAATAGCACTTTCGAGAAGATCACTGAAGAGCTCGACATGACTGAGAACCTAGAGCCCCATGTCGAGGCCTTTGAGACTGAACCCACCGAAGCTTTTGTGAATGACCAGCACTCACAGAATGACACAGCTTTTGAAGAGAACTTTGACCATGAGAATTTCCAGGCCCCTGTCGAGACCTATGCAAGCCATGGCGGCGGCTCTTTGTTGCTGCGCTACGTTTTGCTGGTGACCATGGTGCAGAGCACAGCTGCATCAGACCTCTTTTCTGGAAATCAATGCAGTTTGGAAGATGCACCCATTGAGTTTTCAGAGACAGATGACATTTATCTTTTTCTGGCCTTTGGCGTTTTCCTGCTGTGTACTTTTGGTTTTGGCTTGATCTGCGTCTTCGCACGACTGCTGAAGGAACTAGTTGCCTCCCGAAGGGACGGGCATGCCCAGCCACGTGTGGACCATGCGGAACAGCAAGCTGAAAACATACAGCTTCAACAGCGTGTCATCGACATCAATGCGCAAATCACTGACCAACAGACGGAGATCCGTCGACTGCGTGCCGAGCTGATAGCTGCCCAAGGTCGATTGGTCGATCAACAGTTTGTCATTGATGATCATGCTGCAATCAGAGAGCAAGAAAGAACACAAGATCAAAGATCTATTCGTACTGCAGTTGGTCTTTTGGACCGCATTCTGGATGAGACACGAAATTTGAATCAAGTCAGGATTTATTTCGCTGTAACTGGAAGATGCTGGCACCATCGCCACGACTGCAACGGATTGAACAATGCCAATCAAGTTGAAGAGCGGTACGCTTGTTCTTTCTGCCTAGCGAGTTTGCCGCCATATGAGGTACACCCAGACACTGGCACAACCTTTTGGCAAGACTGTGAAGAATATTTTAGGCAGCATGGAGGACGATTGAACTACGTCCAAACTGTAATTCATTGATGTTCTGATGTGAGTGCCGGCTAATATTGCCCCTGTGTCGAATGCACTCCATGCACTCATGTCATTTACCATTTGCTTTAGCATTTCAGTTTCAACCAGAGCTGCCACACATTTTACCTGTGGCCATTTTCTTTCAACCACCAGAGGGTGGGATCTTAGCAAAGCCCCAACGGCTACGCGTGTGCAAAAAGGACTTCGTTTGCCTGCACTTGCAACTACTTCTTGGTCCAGAACTTCGAGTGTCTTGACTACAACTGACTCCCTACCAGTTGATAATAGGTTATTTATGCTTATTTCATGTTTTTCACAAGATTTCTGATCTCTTCGGCTTTCAGTGCTCCTGGAAGCCACTCAGAAGACCTCAGGCTGGGCTGTTGGAGCTTGAGCAGCTGTGCAGCAAGCAGCAGGAAGCACTAGCAGCAGCAGTTGCAGAGACTGGAGAGAGTCAATTTCACTTCGCGGAGGCGCGCGCAGATGCCCACGCTGCAGCGACCTATGCTGTTGCGGTCCGAGGTTGGGCACTTGCAGCGGAGAAGGAAGCACAACTGGCCATGGAGGTCGCAGCAGATGCACGAGATGAAGAGCTGCAGGCACAACTGCGCAGGCACAACCGAGGCTTCGAAAGAGCTGAAGAGTTGGCGGCTCAGGACAGACATAGACTGCACACAGAGGAGGTTGCAGAAGATCAGGAACTGGGACGTGCAGAAGAGCAACTAAAGACAGATGCCTGCAAGTCAGACGAACTGAAAGAAGCGCTGCAACGTCTGCGTGCTGAAACCAATGAATTGAGGAGCCAGGCAGCACCAATCTCGGCGAGGGCAGCAGAGTTGCGGCGTCGCAAGCATGCATTAGAGCCTGCAGCCACTTGGGTAGGTGCCTTCCCTGAGCGGTCGTTATCAGGCCTAGTAGCACAACTTGATGCCGCACGGAAGACTCTGGATGACGAAGACATGGAGTTGCAAGTTCTGCGGATGCAGGAGCAGCAACAAGAAGCTGACGTCATGCTCTTTGCTTCCGAAGTGCAAGCCCAACAGCAGGTGACTCAGGAACTTCGTCAAGGCTTTGAACCACAAGAGCTGCGTTTGGAAGCTGTCGAGGCCCGCGAGAAGTGGCAAGAGATTGCCCAAAGAGACGAGCACATGGAATGGCGGCAGCAGATGAAGTTGCTGCAGCAGAAGGGGCGGGAAGTGAAGAGAGCAAAACGTGCGGTGGTAGAGTCAAAGCAGGAGGTGGACGCTATGATGTTGCAGGATTCGCTGAGCAAAGATGTGGAAGAGCTAGAAGTTTCGACGGCAAGGCTTCGTAAAAAACTCGCTGAGCTCAACTCCGCCACTGCGCCAGAGGAGGCGCTTTCAAAAACTTTGGAGACGCTGGAAAAGGAGATAGCGACACTGCAGGCGCAGAGGTCCACAGCCTTGGAGGACATCGAAGTCCTGAGGCACGAGCTCCAAGCACAGGCTTCAGTTCCTGCCTTATCTGCACCGGAAACACAGGCATCCACCGCAAGTTCTGCCCCATCTCCTTCTGCCCCATCTCCTTCAGTGTCCTGGGCAGCCAAGCGATCAACAAAGCAGCTCTCTTTGCAACTAAACCATGGAGCTATGCGTCGGGAAGCCTTGCAAAAGCAACTTCAAGGGCAGAAGCAGGAGGAGGACCGTCTCCGGCGACAGCTGAAGGAGGTGGAGCAGCAATTGCAGCTGAGCCGTGACGACGCGGAAAGGAGAAGGAACTTTGTGGCACAGCTGCAACGCTCCCTGCAGGCTGAACAAAGCTTCGAGCCGCAACAGGAGAGTGATGCAGCTGAAAGGGTCTCAAGAGCCTCTGCGAGCACCCCGAAGAAAAACAACCGCTGTTTTGCTATCCATGATCCATGATCCGTTGCTCAGCGCTTGCCCAGTGACCTTGCATCCCACAGGCTGTATGTTGTTGCTTGTTCCTTGTTCTAAGGGTTCCTTGCCGGACTTGCATTTTAAATGCTTTCGGCTCCCAGTGCTTTTAAATTGCTGGCATT